ATGTGCTAGAGGAACAATATTTCTCTCCAAGGCTATGCCCTAACTTACTGGACTCACTAGACTCCACTGTTTGAGCCTGGGTTTAGGGTTTAGGGTTTAGCGTTTAGGGTTTAGGGTTTAGGGCTTAGGGTTAGGTGATTCGTCGTTGAAGCGGTAGGACTTCGGGATCTGCTTGCGGCTTCGGGAGAGACCGAAGAGTTCATTTGTAGGGTCCGACTTAGTCTCTTCCCTTCTACTCCAACACCAAGAGCCCAAAACTATAAACCCTAAACCCAATCCCCTAAACCCGAAGCCTAACCCTAAACCCAAAAACCCGAAGCCCAACACCCCAACACGTCCTGAAGTCCCGAACCCCTCATGGAAACCCTTTGAAGGCCTTTGCAAGGAACCCTTCCCCCTCCCCTAAGGGAAGCCCTGAGGAACTCTCTAAAGGAACATCTGGGGGGAACCCTTCAAGGAACTTGAAGGCACTCCCCTAAACTCTAAACCCTAAACCCTAAACCCTTCAAGGAACTTGAAGGAACTCTTGGAACAAGCCTGAGGAGCCCCTTTAGGGTTTAGGGTTTAGGGTTTAGGGTTTAGGGTTTAGGGCTCATAGTCAGGGTCCTTTTTTAGGTCCTACAAATTAGCACGGCACCCTGATAAAGAGGACCCCGAAAAGGACCTTAGTTTAGAGAACTACCCGCTTGACCAAAGCCCCTGCGGCGCCTGAACCTCATGCAGCCGTCCTGCAGGCTTGAGCGGTTTTAGAAATGCAGTCTAGAAGGGCTTTATGAGGATTGCACGTGGGTTCTATACCGCCTTTAGGCTGGTTTTGAAAAGGGCTCTATAAGGCCTGGGTTCTGGTATCTTCAGAGTTTAGAAATTGGGGATGGAAAGAGAAAGGGCGAGAGTTCTAGAAGCAAGTGAGCAGGAGAGAGGGTTTAAGATTCGAGTTGGTGACCGGGGTCCAGTGCATTTCATGGCTTTAGCTTCAGGTCCCCTTCAAGGTATCGTGAGAAGCTCATCATGGCGAGGAGCGAGGACGCTGGCAGAGATTGCAATTTCGAGTAACCCCATGTTTAGGATAGGGCTCAGAAAAGACCTTGGGCGCTTGGATTCAAGGTTGCATGGAAATAACCCGAAGTCGAAGTAGTGTAGGAAGCCTACGAGAACATGATTCGGGTAGCTCCCAAAACTTTACACCTTAAAGGAATCCTGACTGCAACCCCGAAAGGCACCCTCAAAAGCCTTGAAGAAAAAGAACCCTTGCTGGAGCCCTCAAAGGACCCTCAAAGGAACCCTAAACCCTAAACCCCTTGCAGGAGCCCTCAAAGGACCCTCAAAGGAGCCCTTGAAGGAACCCTTGCAGGGAAGCTCCAGGCCCATCTACTGCAAGCCTAAGCCCCCAAAAAATTGAAGCCGCAAATTCCTTGAAGAACTCTTAGGGTTTGGGGCTTAGGGTCTAGAGTTCAGGGTTTGGGGTTTGGGGTTTAGGGCTCAGGACTGATACCCCAAGACCGCAGAGAGCCAATCCAAACAGAAACTTGCGGAAGGAACGTAACTCTACAGCGGCTCGGTTTAGGGTTTAGGGTTTAGGGTTTAGGGTTTAGGGTTTAGGGTTTAGGGTTTAGGGTTTAGGGCCCTTCGTCAAGAACTCTTACTCCCCTCGGCCCCTCCGCCTAAAAAGTTATGAATAAGGAAAAGACACTTGATCGCAAACCCGAAACATGGAATCCTCAACCCTAAACCCCAAACCCTAAACCCTACTAAACCCTTAACCCCCAAACCCCTAAACCCTAAACCCTACTAAACCCCCAACCCTCAACCCTCAACCCTAAACCCTCAACCCTCAAGCCTAAACCCTAAACCCTAAACTTTAAACCCTCAGGCTCCAAGATCCTAAACCCTGGAAACTGCTGAAACCTGAACCGGACATTTAGCGTCAGTGTTCAGGCCACCAGGGGTTAAGAGTTCAGGCGTTCTGGGGGTTCGGTGTCTTCTATCTCATAGAGAGTATATACATACACTGAGTTATATACCCCAAAAGCTGCGCAAAACCCGAGTCTTCCAGGCCTCCATACTAGCACTTCCAGGCCCCCTCGTGAAGTCCACCGTTTTAGGGTTTAGGGTTTAGGGTTTAGGGTTTAGGGTTTAGGGTTTAGGGTTTAGGGTTTAGGGTTTAGGGCGTCCTTCAATCTCCATGAGGCATGTCTCCCGCTCGGGCACACCACCGCGCCCGCCACCCGAGATGTCGACGCACAGCCTCGCGCACGTTGTCGTCTCTCTGTTTCGGTGCGCTACGTCCAGACTTGAATTGAAGGTCGGCTTTCGTTTTAGGGTTGAGGGAGGGGTTCAGACTGCCATCTCTCAGCACGATTTCTTGACTTGGGCCTGAGGCTGTTCCCTTCTCCGTGAATTCGTGCATTCGCATATCATCTAAATTCTGTATTGTGCTAGACCTGTCAGCCTGCTGTTGTATGACTGCAACTTCCTAGTGACAAAGTCTAGTCGCGCAACAACCCTAAGCCCTACGGGCCTTTCCTAAATGCAGAAAACCCTCGATCCCGAAAGGAAGGACCTCCTCCAGTCGGCTTCCTGCGCTCGCTGGCGTAGGACCTGCTGCCGTGGCTGAGCTGGTTTAGTAGGGCTTTTTTAGTGCCTACGGTTTGGGGCTGGGTTGGGATTAGGGTTGAGAGTTTGGGGTTTAGCATGCGGCTCTTGGCACCCTAAACCCCAAACTACAACTTCAACCCCAAACCCTGCCAACCTAAATCCTGAGCCCTAAGCCCTAAACCCCTGAACCCCTGAACCCCTGAACCTCTGAACTTGAAACCCACACTATCCAGAGCCGAAGTAGCCTCACGAACCCAACTTGTTGGGTTTAGGGCTTAGGGTTCTCGGATACCAGCCTCCACAGTCTACAGACATGAATGGTAGGGCATTAGTTCTCTGACTGTGGGGTATATCACAGCATCTCATAGTTACATAGGAACTAAAGAGGATATTATCACTAGCCACTGAGACGCCTACATCAGAAACTCCCGAAAACACACGGACGCCGAGAGGGCAAATTGTCTAGGCTGCAAGGCTTCGGGCTAACAGACAGCCAAACCAAACGCCGCGAGACCTCAACCGCAAACCCCAGACCACAAATCCCTACACCCGAAATCCGAATCAAATCCGCAAAACCCTGAAACAAATCCACGGCCCAAAAACTCCATAGCTATGTGTATGTGTACATGTATCTATATATATATATATATATATGTGTGTAGACACATACATATATAAAGATAGATAGATCACTATCTAGAATCGTTCGTGCTCTACTTCTTCGATGATCCCTTTCATTTGCCCTTAATTACTAGGGTTTGGGTTTAGGGTTTAGGGTTTATTATCAGAGTATTAGGATATTAAGTCATTAAGGTATTAAAGTATCAGGCGCCTCGCCGGTTTCGTCGTCCCAGCCGCGGAGTCGAGGGCGCTTGGGTGGCGGCGCTGGCGGCGTTGCTTTAGGGTTTAGGGTTTAGGGATTTAGTGTTTAGGGTTTAGGGTTTCGGGTTTAGGGTTTATGATTCAGGGGTTCAGGGTTCAGGGCTTAGGGTTTAGGGGTTCAGGGTTCAGGGCTTAGGGTTTAGGATTTAGGGATTTGGGTTTAGGGGACTTTTCGTTGATGAATTTGAGGGCTGCATAAAGGAAACGACTTCTTGTCCGCCGCCCCTGTCGGCACTGCATTGAAAACACCATTTTGTAATCCTGGATTTACGGTTTAAGGTTAGGGGTGTGTGCTTCGGGGTTCAGGGTCTTGGATTTCGGGTCTGAGGCTGGAAGCTATTTATTGAAGGGTCCGGATTTGTTGTGTACAGGATTTAGGATTTAAAGTTGTCTGCTTATGCTTTGAAGTTCAGCATGTTGGAAACCAGCCGAGAGATGTAGAACTTCAGCTGTCAATGGAAGTGTTGGTGGTGGATCAGGATGTGCTCTGGCTCCATTGTGTTCAGGGTTAGTTCTGGAGGAGTTGAACCTAGCGTTCGGGCTTGAGGGTTGAAGGCATCACTTAAAGTTGCTACAGGTAGCACCCTAGCTGTCGCGCAGGCTCCTGATCCAACGGGGCAATGAAAAGTCTCAAGTCTGTTCAATGACCCCACAAGGGATATTACAAAATTCGGGCAGGTTAGGATTCGGTGTTTGCGGTTCGAACCTTGGATCAGGCCCTGAACCAAAGCCTGTAGCGCATATACAAATGGCAGAAGGTTTTGCGGCTTGGTTCATCGCTCCACAACCACTCAGAATCTCGACCTAAACCAACTACCCAGAAGTTCTCTAAATTAGGGTCCCTTTTGGCGTCCTTTTTATAAGGGTGCCGTACTATATTGCGGACCTAAATGGGGACCCTAATTTATAGAACTGAAAGCAATTCCAATCTGACACCAACGAGAGTTGAACTCAACCCTTCATCAAGCCTCCACCCTAGAGCCCCCGCTCTGAAACTTGAACCCTCAAAACACTTGACCCCGAAACCCCAAAACCCCAAAACCCTGAAACCCAACCTCCAGAATCCAAGCAAAACCTGAACACCAAAGCCTCCAAACCCTGCAAAACCCCAAGATTCACAAATTCTTACAGGTCCTTATACCAACTTCCTTGAAAACAGAAGGACTTTCAGAAACCGAGCCCCCCTCCCCTCCCAGCCTGCGCTAACTTTGGCGCCACTCCGAAAAAAGTTTCTCGGCAGACGGTCGAACGTGGCGCTTGCTTGGAGGAGCTAGGGTTTCCAGGGCGAGTCGGGTTCAGGGTTTAGGGTTTAGGGTTTAGGGTTTAGGGTTTAGGGAGCCGCTGGGGCTTTCAAGTGTTCCTTCTTCATTTGGAGGGGTTCTCGAGGCGTCCGTCTCGAAGAGCTCTACAGACAGAGCTTGCTGAATAAACCCTAAACCCTAAACCCTAAACCCTAACACCCTAAACCCTAACACCCTTACACCCTAACACCCTAAACCC